CTTTTTAGATTGTTTACGGGTGCGTCAACTGCAAAGATTATTAGTTCCGTAAGAGTAGTGCGTGATTTTTGTCGTGATCTTCCCCCGCTGGATGGCGAGATCTGGCGCCGACCTATCATGGGTTAGCGGTGTTTCCATCAACCAAGTATCTCCCACCGGGGAGGCTCCAGCCGGGCAGAGCTCTGAGCTCCCGACTGGTCTAGCGACATGTGTAGTGTATGTAAAGTGTACGATGATAACGCTTCGTGCGTCCATAATAACTAATAAGTGTTTTTTTTTCTTGCTTCTATATGTAGTAAATTACTTTCTCATATACATACGGTATTGAGAATTTGCATTTTGAATGTCCTTGAAACGAAAAATTAATTTTCGGCAAAACGTCTATTTGTCCCTCTGTGATCAACTCTTTGATCTGACCTCTGTGATCAACAAGACCTTAACGCTAGCACCGCAGCCTGTGCTCCACGATTATAAACCCTCGTTGGGACTAATCGAATACATATATTTCGAATATATATATATATATATATATATATATATATATATATATATATATATATATATATATATATAGTTCGAAATAGTTTTACTTGTGCCCGAAAATGCGCTTAGAACTATATACAATTACAATTAGAATACAATTAGAACTATACTCAGAACATCGACCATCTGGACGATGTTGAAGAAAAGAAATCGTCAAGAACGTGCTGTACAATAACGAAGAGTTTCTTAGGAAAATGACGTAAGAAACCTTTGGCCATCTAATTGAGGAACAGACGATGCTGGTTTCCACTTTCTCACTACGGAGTAGAGAGAAAGTTATCTAGTGCTACGCGAAAACCGGTGCATTTTCGGCAGAAAAACTCTTACAGGGCCTTGGTAACAAAAAAATGGATAAATCTAGTTGCTAAATTTAGAAAAACCATCCTTCTACATATGGTGTAGCCAGAATTCATGGAGCATTCTGCGCAGTTAATTCGTGTTTGATACCGAATCAGTGATTTGGCTCAGGGCATCCACTGATGTCACAATAATCCCTTTGATCGGGAGGTCCGAAGTTCGAATCCAGACAGGTGCAAGATGTTGGCCTCTAGCTTGTCAGCTAGGTCGAATTCAGTCGCTGTCTGCAGGAGAATTCTAGAGGTCGGCTGCTCTGATCGGTAGTTTTCCGTAGTTTCTCCGATCAATACCAGGCGAATGTCGGAGTAGTACCCTATCAAATTGGCCACGGACCGCGTGCGATTTTTTCTTCCTGTTCCTTGTGCTATCCTCACCCCTTACTTGCACACACAGTACCACACTAGCCGGAAGACCGGGAGTTTAGAGCTTGTCCCGGCTGGGGCGATCTCCCGCTGGTTGGAGACATGTGTTTGGGGAAAACCCCGCCAGCCCGACGGTATGTCGGCGCGCGATCTCGCCAGACGCCGGGGAAAAGACCACCGCATCTCCCGAGAAAACACATACACAACCCTCATGTGACTAATGATGCTAGTAATTGACGTGCCCGGAATCACTAACTCTTAATCAGTGTGTCCATCTGTGAACAACGCTAGTGGCTGAACCGTTCATCCGTTTTTCTCCAAAGTTTATTTTCCCCAATCGATCTGGCTGATGTCGCGGCCCCTTGAATTTAAATTTTAGGAGTACTTAAAATCAGTCCCCTTAGATATTTCCATATTTAAAAAAAACTGGCTACATAGTTTCTGATTAAATTTTGTTGTTGGATATTATGAAGGTCGTTTAAGATGCAGGTTGCATGTTCGTGGAAAACTGATTTTTCGAAAGTTACAAAAGTTCAAAAATGATTTTGGGGATTTCCTACAACTAAAATATTAAAAATAAAGATTTTTCCCTTAATAAAATCTGTTCATTGAAGATAGATTTGGAAATAAGCTCATGTACAATTTTTCGGAAATTTGAGTACTTTACGCGTAATTTTCCGTTAAAGTACTGGCGACAAAGTATGTACTTTTTTAATACTAGTTTTCCACCTGTTATTACTCATTTTGTATTTTTATATTATATTACTTTCTGTGCTCAAACGTCAAATAAAAGCAATTAAAATTATTAAATATACGTAAATACATACTAATATCAACACAATTCTCGTATTAATTCGTGTCTTTAAAATCGTAGATGGTTACGAGATAGTTGACCGCTAAAGTTTACTTTGGGAATTTAGTGATTCGCCATATTTGAATGGATAATCTAGAGAACGTCCAAGAAGGTGTGATGTAGTTTTTCGCGACAACTCGGAATTCAGAACGCAAGCTCGCCCTAGTATGTGATCGCCACCGATGTGCAGTTCCGAAAGCTCGGGATGCAAACCAGGACGAATCGGTGATTATGCACTACAGTGCGTACTTACACTACGCCGCTGAGTGTAAGTTCATGGAGTGATATGTTTGCTCGCTGTGTAGCAAGACACTTAAAGTGAATCTGCTTTACAAGTGGCTTGGCCGAAAAAAATCACTCTTAAAAGCAGCGGCCGGCAGGTAATGGGCATAAAAAGAACGATACTTCAGTTGGTTATAGACTAGCTATTGAATAAGAATTTCCTTGTTCCTTATTTTTATTCCCAAGGATCAAGGACTACAGAATTTTAGAAATAATCAGGGTAACTCTACAACTTAGCTGTATCCCCAAATAGCTTCATTACCTCCGTGAATGTAGATGAATGTTTCTGTGGGACCTATGTAATACACAAAAGGTGCCGGCCCTAAATCCATAGTCAAAACCAGATTAAATTAATAAATGTTAAACATATTCTTTTTAGCACTCGGGCATGGAAGTCAATACTTCAGTGTTTGTCTAGAATACGATTCTTTGCGGCTCGAGTGCGACAATTAACATGGCTACTGGCTCGCTTTTTGAGAATGATCTCAAGATAATGCAGTAATATATTTTTATGCATTCGCACAAAATTATAATAATAATGATAATAATACAATAATAACAATAAATAATAATAATAATAATAATAATAATAATAATAATAATAATAATAATAATTGTATGTCGCTTGTATGAATGTCTCTTTTCAAAATGGCAGACTCGGCTCCATTCGTCGGTACTATTTGCACCAACTAGCTAGAATACACTTCATAGAGTGGCTGTCCCACTAGTTTCAGCGCTCTTGGTGGAGGCTCGCCGAACTAGTGGCCGACATGTTTTTTGAAGTCAAAGATACGAGTTGCGGGGTAACTTGGGTGTAACCGTCCGTAACCAGCGCGAAACATAGTGCAAGAATACTTCGTTTCCCAGAGGGCGCTGCTTTGACTGCAAAGATCATGCCTTCAATTTGGTTCAAAGATCTAGGGGCTTCAGCCACTCAATGTAGTATATTCTAGCTCGTTGATTTGCACAAATACGTATTCCGTACTCTTTCTCGGATCTAGTAGTGTAGTAGTAGTGTAATTCGTTTGTTACAGCGTTCCATCTAACTGAATTTTAATTTCTTGGTTAACCATACGTTCTTCATTATACAAATCTGGGAGTTTGGTTTGGATTTTTGACACGTTTGCTCATATACAAATAAATGTTATTTTGTCAAAATTGACTTACTCAAGGGCTGGGTATTTAGATCCAATGTCGATTACTATAATTATAACACACATTAAAATTATCTTCTTCAGATGTCAGAATCACCAGCTCGCTACAATGACTACAAATAAAATGACAGAATATATGGTACGTTATTTTTTAACATATTGTCAGATAACATTAAGCAATTAACATTAAAATTCAAGTTTATGTGCCAAGTAAAATATTTTCAACCATTTAACGTTTTTAAACAATTATAAAGTATACTGAGATTAAAAAGAAAATTATATTTATTTTAACAATGTTATTATTGCGTACGTTACCATCTCCACTTTTTAATTGAAGGGTCTAGAAGAGTAATAAGTTAAGCCACACCATTCACAAGAAACCTCCCGCGTTAATATCTATAAATGTTAACATCTTGATTTAGCTGAAAGAGAGGCCTAGGTTTTTTCCGTATACGGATGTCTTGTTCATTATTTATAAAGGTCTTGGGACAGTTGCAAGATGAGAGACATATTGATCAAAATTGAGATAATGTTTACCAGTAGTGCGAGTATCAGTGTGGCTTATTTTGTTACTGCCCCAAGTCCTTTAATTGTAAAAGTCTAAATATGCCTGTAACAAGTACTATTCCTTACTTTTGGGGTTAATGAATCCTCACCTCGATTAGGATATTTGAGTTTCAATTAAATAAATACTGAATTATTCAATTTAATTATAAGTGAATGAAACAAAAACTTGTTTTTAGTAAACACAAAAATGTAGCTTCACACGTTTAAAAAGTACAATCAAATAAATAATAGAGTCCACAGTCTTGCAAAAGCAAGTCAACTTCTACAAGGAGAGCACGATCAGGTATTAGAGTCAATTTCAGTAGCTTAGTAGAAAATTGTACTTATTACCCGTTAGCGAATATTTTTCCATATCAAATTTAGACAAAACTGTTCTTCGCTACCTTCATTCATATTTCAACTTGTTGTATAAGAACGAGGGTAGGGAAATTGAAAATGAGTTGCACATCTCTCCCAAACTTTAATCACACTTTTTTGACTGTACTATGCTAAAAAAATTTTTAAAAAAACGCATTTTGTGTCTTATGTCTAAAAATGGGTGCCCGCAAGGATACTATTTTATGAGAAAATTGTGGAAAATTCTTTCATTACGAATCTTACTACATTCCTACATGAAACTGTCTTTTGTTCATATTTTGAGGTGTTAATATAATTTTTTCCAGCGACAGATAAATACTCATTTGTTTACTGATAAAGTTACTTACCTCCTTTTATTGTTTTTACGTATGAGAGCGCCCTAAGAGAAGATTCGGAAGAACACCGCACTCTTGTGACGATCACACCAACTAATAATTCTCGAGTGCACTCTAGCGGACGATTCTTGAACACAGTGCGGACTGACCGTGCGGACACAGTACATAACGCGGACCGTCCGCCATGGACCTCGTATTGATTGCGTCATCCCGCTGAACAGCAGCGGCTGACCGCAGTGGACCAGTCGCAGTTCGCGCCGGACAGCGGACAAGTTGTGAAATACATTTGGGCGGAAATGGCAGACACAGAAAGATTAATTGAACTTGTTCGTAATCACAGCCATTTGTATGATATGCGGCACGACGACTACAAAGATGTGGTGAAAAAAGCGGAATCTTGGAAAGCAATTGCTGAGACACTGAATCAAACAAGTAAGTTGTATATGAGTATTATTTTGTGGGTAGATATGGTTATTTTAAATAAACATATTGTTTCAAAATCGGTTAACTCCATCTTCGTATTTTTTAACTGTGATTAAGTGAGCTTCATTCACAATCAAAGCAAAGACTTGTCTCAAAACCGGCTAAGCCCAATCCCTTAGTTTCAAAATTAAATCAGTCTGAGCCAATCTTGAGCGCTTCCATGAAGAGCCGAGTCCATTCCTTCAGTCATCGCCGAAAATACTCGCCGAAGGCTGCTCGCTAAGCTAGTAAAAAGTATTTCTTTACATTTTGGAGGAATTTGTCTTCTTAAAATTTGCTTAAAATGTTATATGTCCTATTTTAATTCAAAACTGCAAACTTTCAAAAATTGCAAATTCTAATTTCGTGCGATTCCTTTACGAGATGCCTGTAGAATTAGTATACAATTTGCAATATTGTAATATCACCCAAATGTTACGAATAATACCGAACGCGAAGTTTTCCGTTGTCATCACTAGTTTTTATTTCACCTTACACGCTAGCGGAGTTCGATATTATACACAGTTAATAATTTTGTAATTTAATTTCCTTCCATATATATCCTTCCCAAAATATAAGCGATTGGAGTGTTTGTTCCTGGTTATGGTTTTCGAGGCACAATGATTTTGTCATTTATGTAAAAGGGGGAAGAAATGTATATTTTCGTGTATTTCTAATGAAAACGAGATACCCACGTTCTACATTGATGCTTCTTGTAGCGTCATAGGGCTAGGCTTCCTGCACCAGAGAATCGGGCATAGGGGTAGTTACCCGAACAATGAGCGCCACACCGGACCAGAGCCATTTCCAGTGGGGGAAGGTTACCGAGCGCAGGAGCATCGCGTGGTGAGACAGCTCGCTTCCAGAGCGGCCCAGGGCAGCGCGTGGGAGCAGATGACGTATAAATCGCCCAACTTTTCTGGAACGATGGCCTTTGCTTCCCCCTCTCTAGCACAATAAACAGTCGAGGGCAAAAGCTCGCAGCGAGCACTGATGACAACATTCCAAATACATCTTTGTTGTCTTGTTGTGGGTCTTAATTTAGTGTGCTAAAATGTGTAAATATGTTAATATTGACATTTCCATGTAAGTTACATGTGTAATTTTCTTATTATTCGTATTTGAAATAATATCCGGGTAATTAAAAAAATATAGTTTTGATGTCTGTAAACCAAAACAACGTATGATACAACAATTTGTTCTGAGTTACACATTTTGGAAGGGTAAAGTTCTGTAGCAATACCTCCAATTCCATTTTTTTTTGAATAATGGGACTAAAATTTGAAATTTGTATTGTTTCAAATATGTAAAATCAGTGTGAACCTGAAAACAATTTTTTAAGAACAGGAAACACGAAAATCCCTTATTTCCTGGAAAAACTTACGCGTTAGAGACGAACAGTTTTCTTGAGTGATTTTACAACTTTTGCTTTAGCGAGATCCGTGTGATAATGAAAACCGCAACTCGATACCTCCCAAAGTAGCCGACAAATTAAATAGCAAACAATCATATGTTAGATCCTGTGTCCACCGCCGGCGTCGTTAAGTCACTGTCGTTAAATTACTTTCCAGAATTGTTTGGATTTTTAAGAATACCGAAAGTATTGCCTAATGGCTGGATACGTCATAGAAGGGCTAGTGCGAACTCTTTTTACCCCCACTAAAATAACGCGCGTGAAGACCATACACATTCCCCTTTTTTAGACGTCTTCCTTTCTTATATGGAAGTTAGCTACCGTATTGTATAGTGTATTTTAAGACATGTATTAAGATATAGTTCCATACTATTTTATTAAATTATGATTTGCAGGTGAAGCTGTGAAATTGAAATGGAAAAATTTGAGGGATTCTTACATAAAGTATCTCAAGTTTTTAAATGGCATTGCTGGATCATCTAAGAAGTTTCAAAATTGGCCGTGAGCTGGACATTTGGAGTTCCTTCAAGACACAATATGTCTGCGTCTAACAATTTCAGATGTTCTGCATCCAAATGTATCAGTTCTCTGCGACGGAGATTATAACGACGATGATAGTGTGAAAGATGAATCTAAAATGCCACCGCCTAAGAAAAAGCTTAAGGAATCTAAGGAAGTTAGTGGAAGTGTTGACAAGATCATTAGCTATCTACGAAACGAAAAGGAAAACAAACTGCTGAAGAATCTCGATCACATTGATAACTTGTTCTTAAGCTACGCTGATACTTTCAAAAAATTTTCACCTACAACACAAGCTGTCATAAAAATGGAATTAGCTCAACTGTTCGGGAAGGCTGAACTTCGTGAACTAGATGCTCCGAATCCACCTGTGCCCTCCCCACCTTAAGTTGTGTGGTTGGACGTTTTTATGAGGTGGTTTGTGGTAGTGAGGTTCGTCTATTCTAAACTATAATGGTCAGATTACATTTCTGTTGTAATGTTTCATCAAATGTGAATTATATTGTACTGCAAACTACAAAGGTTCACGAACGCTGCTCACAGTATCAGCAGACTCAGAAAAAAAGATTAGAAAGTACTTCAGTATTAGTTTCATATTTTGTTTATAGAATCATGCATATTTTCATGGGCAGGCTTATTGTTTAAATAAAATTCTCAAATCTTCACCTTTTTCAGAAAATCAAAAATGTCTTAAATTCGCGCAAATAAAAGCAAATGGTTAACCTTTCCTTTCATCTCAACGGTTCTCCTGTAGAGGGTAACAATCACTGATTTTCGCGAGGTGCATAAAATTTGTACTACCCTATTCACATTGATATACTTTGCACAGCTATTTCTTTCTAAAATTTCATCACACCGAGCAAACGGAAGAAGTTCGTTGGAGTAACTTGGGGGAAATACTTCAAATTATTTTTAGATATTAAAAGAAAATGCTACAATGTGTTCTTGCGTGCTACTGCTTGGTAAATTGACTGCCCTAAAGTTTACACTTTCTATTTCAACTACAATTCATTGAGGACTGTGTCCGCCCACAGCACCTCGTTTGTTGGATATGAGAACCTTTCGTGTTTTAACCAATTGGAACTGTTATTGTAAAAATCTGATGAGATTTTTAGTTTGAATGAAAATTATTTAAAGATTATCTTATTGTTTCTAAGGCCACTTTTTTGCATTGAGAAAGACCAACAATGGTAAATTTTATTATGTTATTTACTTCATTAAAGAGGAAGAACCTCGATTGTTATTTATTTGTGGAAGCAGAAGTCATTTTTAAAATATTAAATATCAGTGTTATGTAAAACAATTACAGAATTTGCCTGTGGGCGGGCAATCATATTCCCAGGGGCGGACTCTCCAGGTGGCCTGCTAAGGAACGGATTTTTAGGGCGAGCAGAGAGGAAAGGGATGAGGGGAGTTAAGCGGGGAATTTGTTTAAAAAATGCACATGATTAAGATACATTTCAAGCTACATTTTTCAAGAACAAACTTTATTAATAAACAAATCTCTATCTTTATTATTGAGTTTCTTAGAAGACGTCGAAAAACACTTTTGCAATTTTCGAAAATTTATATAATTCAACCAATGGCAAATATCCGCCATTTTTATAAACCTACTTAAAAAATTGAAGAAAAAATCTGGGAAGAAAAATTAAAATTTTGAAGAAAAGTTTGTAAATGTTGGCGAGGCTTCATGTGAGATCCTCCCCCCCCCCCAAATCAAAATATCAGTTTCAAATTCAAGTGCCTGTGACTTTAGTCACATCAATCCGGAAAGTCAATTTTGCTGAAAATGCTGCCTCTTTCCTTCTATTTTGCGTTCTTTTTTTGTTCACGGGAGGACGTTATTAAGTACATGTAGGAGCAACAACTCTTCATTTTAGGGTATCAGGGACCCAGAATACTATATTTTTGTGGAATATCGCCGCAACAAGTCGCAACAAGCGACCTCTCGCTTGCAACAAGTCAACCTGCTCTCTACTACGTTTGTGAGACAGTAAACCGCCCGGGTCAGTACGAAATCACGAAATCACAGCTACTCACACGTCGTCTGACGGTGCAATTCGGAAGTTCTCGCGCCGCTGTAGTCGATTTCGCAGTTTGTGTCGCGTGTTGAAGTGGTGGCGATCGCTCTTCCGCTTTTGTGATGGAAATCGGAAAGGGGCACGCGCCCGCATTTGAACTCGATGATTCCGAGAGCGTCAACTGCTAAGGTCATTAGTGCCGCAAGTGAAGTGCATGTCTTCATTGCTTGATACCGCTGGCTGGCGAGATCCGGCGCCGACCTACGGATATCCGGCTTGCGGGTGTTTTCCCACACCCAGGAATCTCCCCCAGCGGGTCACTGCCTCACTCGGGACACGCTCTGGGTCTCGGACGGATCTACCGAAAAGCGTGATAGTGTAAAAGTTCTAAATCTCTAAGAATAAACTACAGTTGTTACATATCTTCGATTTACATACCCATCGGCATTAGAATGGATCGATTAGTACTGTTAAATTACACAAACGACACCCTCTAGCTGTAATGTGTGTTCAGCTTGTAAGATTTGTAATGCGTGAAAAAAACATGTGAATATTATTGTATACTTATGTACAATATTTCTAAACCGTAATGCTCATACACACTCTGCAGCACTTAGAAGACGTTTCACAGCTGTAGAGCATATATGATTTTTTTCTTATGCAGTTCAGCTTCTTTATGAAGGGCTTATGGGTTAAAAGATACGTAATAATCTTCAACATTCTATCATGTATATTCTATAATCTACATGTATAGTATTCCTTCCACGGTGTGTTTTCCGTGTAGTATGGTTATCAGATAGTTCCTTTCGTGGCTAATAGTTCATACCCGGTTGTTGTCTTTTTTACGCAGTGTACAAAAATCGCTTGAAACAAAACCTTCAGAAACATACACCCACAAAGCGTTTCCGAGTGAGATATGTTTCACGCTCAAAACTTTCACATTATTTTTATAAGAGAACTGAGTTATCATTTACGGTTTAGGCAGCTGCCAGCTCGAGCCTAGAAAATTAAAACTTGATTAGCGATTCTGGGAGCGTCAACTGCTAAGGTCTTTAGTTCCCTAAATGTAGAATATCTTTTGATCACGGGAGGTTATGGTGACCTTCTCCCGCTGGATGGCGAGATCCAGTGCCAACCAACACGTCAGTTTGCAGAGTTTTCCCCAACCAGGAAACTCGCACCAGCGGAACACCGCCCCGGCCGGGACAAGTTGTAAGCTCCCGTCTGACCCTTGATATGTGTGATAATGGAGTGAATGTAAGGAAGTGTAAGTAAGGGGAGAAGACAGGGCAAGGACGAGGAAGGAAAAATCACGCGCGGTCCAAGCCCGTTTGTTAGGGTACTGTTCCGGTATTCGCCTGGTGTTGATCGTAGAAATCACGAAAAACTACTGATCAGAGCAGCCAACCTCTAGACTTTTCGTCTGGGCAGCAACTGCATCCCACCGAGCCGTAGCTAGTACCGAAAATCCTGCTACCGTCGGGATTCAAACGTAGGACCTCCCGATCAGAGGCTCTGAACAACTCAGTTCGCGACATGAATAGGTTCGTGACCCGACTCAGTTCGCGACATAAATAGGTTCGTGACCCGACTCAGTTCGCGACATGAATAGGTTCGTGACCCGACTCTGCGTTACGAATAGATTCGCAACCCGACTCAGCGACATGAATAGGTTCGTGACCCGATTCAGTTCGTGACCAGAATAGGTTCGTAACTCGGCTTAATTC